ATTTGGTTGTTTTCTTCAGGCAGTCCTCTTCATAAATCTCACTGGAACGGCACCAAAGAAAGGTTCCAGCATCATCTCCTTGTCCAATGCAGATTCTTGACTCATCACTGAAGATAACTTTCATCCAGTCATCCACAGTCCATGATTACCTCTCCTTAGCCCACTGCAGTCTTGTTCTTTTTTTGTTTAGGTGTCTATGTTGGTTTTCTTTTAGCTTTCCTGTATTGAAATCCCATTTCCTTTAGGTGTTTTCTTACAGTTTGGTCACATACATTGGCTCCAGCTTCCTCCCATTTATGCTTCATCTGTTTAGTTGTACTTTTTCAGTTTTCAAGACAAATGGCCTTAAGTTGTKTGTCTTGATGCTTTGATGTCTTTCTTGGTCTACCGGTACGCTTGGCTTTAACAACCATTCCATGCTGTTTGTATTTGGTCCATATCTTGGATACAGCTGACTATGAACTGCCCACATCTTTAGCAAACATGCGTGAAGAGTTACCATCTTCAAGAAGTTTCACAATCCTCTCTTTTGTTTCAAGAGACATTTCTCTTGYTGGAGCCATGGTTCTTGCCACTCCACTTCGTCCAGCAGCCCTTCAAGGTGTCATGACTGCAGGTGTTTTTAACTGCAGACTAACGAGCAGATCTAATCTGAGGCAGGTGTCCATTTAGGGAAAGGAAATTGACTGGGTGTGTCCTTGTTTTMTACCTCCAATTTSAGTGATTCCATACTTTTTTCCTCAGAATTGAGTGATTCCATTTTTTTTTCCCCTGTGCTTGGTCAATAAAAGTAACATTCACTGACTTCCATGTTTTCATTTCTTTGAGTGTTCCTGAAAGTCAACAAGTTGCACTTTGGAATGATTACAATGATTATTGTATCATGTTTTTTGATCTGAGTATGTTTTACAGAATGAAATGTCAGAATGTGTGCTCATCCAAGACTGGTGATTCTGATACTACAACCCCTGGCGTTTTGCCAGGGGTTGTAGTATCATTCTACATGGTACTTGGGTTTATCAGGCTTATTTGACTATTTCCTGACACAAAACACTTCCTGTTAACTGAAAATAAAGACCACTCCATACAAGTTATTGCTATGCTGATGATTTCTTAAATACCAGATAACCATGAAACCACTGTGACACGTTTCTTTAAATACCAAAATACTATGATGCTACAATTATATTTAATATCAGAATACTATGACACCATAATCTCTTATATTTTGGACAAGAGTAACACCGTGATCTTCTTAAACACAGAAAACTGTGACATTTATTATCTGTATATTGTCACATAACAACCTTCTTAAATGCAGAATACATAACACCATGGTTTATTTAAGTACCAGAATATGAAGACATTACAGTTTACTTCAATACCGGAATACCGTGGCACCATGGTTTACTAGAATACCAGAATACCGTGATGCCATGGTTTACTAGAATACCAGAATACCGTGATGCCATGGTTTACTAGAATACCAGAATACCGTGGCACCATGGTTTACTAGAATACCAGAATACCGTGATACCATGATTTACTAGAATACCAGAATACTGTGATACCATGGTTTATTTAAATACCGGAACACCATAACACTACGGTTTACTTAAATACTGTGACACCACAGTCTACTTTAATACCGGAATGCTGTAACATACTGTAGTTTACCTAAATACCAGAGTACTGTGAACACCATGTTTTTAATACTGGAATACAGTGACACCCCGGTTTACTTAAATACTGGAACACCATGATATTATGGTTTACTTATTTACTGAAATACCGTGACACACGGTTTACTTGAATACCAGAACACCATGACACTAYGGTTTATTTAAATAGTAAAATACTGTGACATCACAGTCTACTTTAATAACGGAATATATGTAACACCAAAATTTACCTTAATMCTATTGAACTGTGACACCACGGTTTAGTTAAATACCTGAATACTGTACCGTAGTTTACCTAAATACCAGAGTATTGTGACACCATGTTTTTAATACTGGAATACAGTGACAGCACAGCATAATACTGGAATACTATGGTTTTCATATATAACAGAATAATACAACGACATCACATTTTTAGTCATTTTAAGGTTTTCATTTTATGACAAACTAAACCTTGTTTGCAACCTTAAATAAAMTATCAGATTGAAGTTTTACTTGTATTATTTAAGTTATTTTTGCACATAGTTTAAGAACACTTTCATCACTATTGATGATTTTATTTAAGTTTGGTAAATCATAACTGCAAAAATCAGTGAAAACGTGTATGTTTGCTTTATTATTTCTTTTTAAAAATGTGTGAGGGGGCTTTAAATAAGCCACTATGATAAAATCTGTTGGCTCTCAGGCGACAGACATTTGTTTTGTATGTTTCTGCCCAATGAGGATCCCATGAAAAAGCAGTGGAGCGAAGAGGGAAAGTCTTCCCAAGTGGGAAAGTTAAAATACTCAAACTGCTGCCCGAGGCCGAGCATTAAAACATGCTGCAGTCCACAGACTCTACTAATCCAACCCCTGTCTCTGTTACACACATTTTGTGCCTCATTTCATACATATTTTGAGCTTATTAAAGTATTTTATGTGGTTATGTTTTTTTCACTATACAGCACGCTTTTCTTTTTTTTATTTTCTGCCATGTTTTATTCTGGTTTGATCATATTCCTGGGAAGTCTTGGTGACAGAGCATCTGTCGACATCTCCTTGAGAATTTACATTTTGCATTAAATGTAAATCTGCTTTGCTTCTTCTGTGTTTGTGCCTGTAATTAAAGTCGGGCAGCGGTTTGGATCTGTTCACAGCTGAATATTCTTCTGGCATATTTTACATAGTATCCTTTGACCCGGACACGCTGAGGAACGAGACTGAGCGGAACACTTGTGAGCGTGAATAAAGGTGAAACAGAGATGTGGGTTAAAGGTGGGCAGTCTGAACATTTTCAATTTCATCTTGTAGCCGACTTGAACAGTGATTTTTAAGTTTGTTTTTGACAACTAGAAACTATTTTAAGCTTGTTTTTCCTCCGTATTTGTGCTTAGAAATACCTTCTTCTTGCCTGCGAAAGGCAGCGATCTTTATCTCCAAGCCGCTCAGAGTAAACAAAACAGGGACCACCCCACCCTGCAGTGACTCCAGATTCAACACGGCGTGACATCGACATCATGTTCTCAGTCTAAGTGCCCCGAATGACAAAGTGCTCGTCTCAGATGATCAAACTCAAGCAGATTTCTTTTCTTTTTCGACAAAGAGGTGCTGCGACTCTCCTGTGAGCTCCGTGACATCATTTCTTCTGGTGAAAAYGGAAAAGTGACATTTAAAATGTAAAAAAAAGAAAGAAAAAAAACGCTTTTTTTAAATTCCCAAACGTCTCAAATCAACCTGTTCGAAGAGAATTTAGGTTTCAAGCAGGATATAAACAATTAGCTCAACTGAAAATGGGCTAACGTGATCAATAATACAACAAAAATCTAAATGTAAAACGATAGTTCACTTTTTTTATTTAAACCTCGTCTGGTGATGAGCTACCAGTCTGGACATAAACATTACCACAGATTGAAGAAATCTTTATTTTTATGACCCAGACTTGAAGCCAAAACGTTCGATTTTTGCCGTGTTGAATTTTTAAGAGTCAGAGTCTCAGCTCTGCAGACATGAGTATATAAACAACGTTAAGCTCGAATATTTTAGTATTTTAGGAGCTGTTTTAAAACACCAGTAATCCACTTTGGACCTGACTCCATTCAAACCAGCCTTTAGTTATTAGATCTAGTCAAAATAAAATTTTATTCCTCCAAACTGAGAGCGTTCAAACAGCTACCTGCAACAGGTAAGATATTAATTACTCAAGTTGCCGCAGAGCCACACGTCGAAGAGATTTGAACGATTATTGTGAAATTGGACTTTCAACAAAGATTTGAACTTTAGTGTCTAAACTGTTTTAAAATGTATAAAGGCAGTGCCATACAAGGAAAACTGATCAATWAAGATTAAAATCATGAAGTTTTCCAACCATACTGCAAAAACAAAATGAATGAAAAAAAAAATAATAATCTGATAAATTATGTGTAAATATGCAGATGAAACAGAGCTGAGAAGATGGAAACGCTCTAAAATCACGATATTATTGCAATAACCTAAATTATTGTGATTTGTTTTTCTAATCTCACAGTTTTAAACCTGAGAACTGAGTTCTGAGAGGGTTTTATTTTCTTCAGAACCTTCACTTTGGACCTGATCAGGCGAGCMTGTGGGTTCTGAAAACCCAACAGAGGTGTGTGGTGGTCCTGCAGCACCTTCAGATCAGGTGTCCTCATTGTCCCCTCAGCTGGGACCCAACAGAACCGGACCTCTGAGGTCAGGGCTGTGCTGAGRGGAAACCTTCAGAACTTCCGGTTCGTCAGGTCCACATTTCTCAGCATCAGCACCGAGTTCAGTTTCAGTGTTTTTTAAGAGTCCAGCCGGTCCAGTTTGACTAAAACCCTCAACGCTCTGCTGTTTGGAGTCCGTTTCCTGACATCCTGGGTGGGATGAGGGGATTAAAGCCTCAGCATCAGGATTAAAATCTGCAGTAATCTGAAACATGATGCAGACTTTCATTCAAACCTAAAAACTGAAAGAAAAAACTTACCTGAAGCAGAAAAAAGCATCTGTGACGCATCTCCACACCTCTTCACATCCTTTTATCAGTCAGTCAAACGGGTCAACCAATTCCCGGATTAAATCTGGATTAAATCAATTCATTCATTCATTAATCCTCGGAGTTTAAATCAGGAACAGGAACCTGGTTTTTGGCCAAAAGACGCAGAAAAAGACGCGCAGAAATCAGAGCTGGTTCCGTTTCTTCTCCACCTCACGCGCTGATGGACCCGGTCCTCCCGGTTCTGATGGGTTTATGTGCGCGAAAAAGAAGCAGCCCGTCCCGCCCTTCACAGAACCAGAACCATCGGKACCGGACCGGGACTCCCCTGCTCTCTCTGGCGCGTTCGGTCTGACCCAGAAGCTGCACGTCCCCGCAGCTCCGGATCCGGGTTCTGGTGCCGGAGCCGTCTGTGGCGCAGAGYGTCGACGCGCCGCCCACGTTGTGTGGCTCCGGAGAGGAACCGGTCCATTCCTCCAGTGCTGATCCCCTAATCCATGTGTGCGACCTGCACCCTGCTGCTGCACAGCTCAGCACAAACAAACCCGACCAGAACCGGGACCAGAACCCTCACTGCACAACCGAGTCCAGCTTCTATTTTTAATACAAATAAACAAACATGTGTCCCGACCCTCAGCTGGACAGTTCTGGCTCCGGTCTCACACGGACAGATGGTCCAGAGAGTCGGAACAGTTCTGGCCCAGGAGTCCATTCACTGAAACCTGCAAACAATCTGAAATAATTAACTCTTTTCTTCTAATTAAAGTTTTAATTACAGAGTCTGATGACTGCAGGGAGCCGGGAGTAAAACACTAAAGCAGCTTGTTTTAAGGCTATAGGTGGCAGCAAAAACCAACCCTGAAAAACACATTTACTCAAATAAAGAGCAACATCACAACTAAATATGTCAACATGATCCATGGAAAATATACAAGATTTGAACAAGGGATTCAGTCTTGTTCTAATCTCTAAAGTGTGTTTAATGTCTATAAAATGGACTTTATTTCTTGATTTATAACACTAAGTTAAATGTAAACATTTCTTAGTTCAGAGTATCAGTAAATATCAGAGGGTTGATTAGTGAGTTAGAAGAGCTGAGGAGTCAAGAATAAAATGTTCAAAATGTAATTTAGCTCACTTTCTGAGTATAAAATCCAGTTTAAAAACTGCTGACTTTTTGTTATTTAGCTCACTGTTTTTACTAAATGTTAAATTTAAAAGTAAAATCTAAAAGTTAAATCTTAAATATAAACATTGCAGCTGAATGATTATAGTTGACATTTTTAAGGTTTGTAAGGGGTTGTGTAGATTTATTTTTTTGTTTTTATTCTAGATTTTAAATTAGGTTTTAGGCATTTTATTGTTTTTATTCCTTGTTTTTACTTTGTGTTTTCTTACCTGCTTTTATTTTTCTGTGTTTTTTTTTCCTATTTGAATTGTGATTGAGTTTGTTTTTGTACGAGCTGTGTTGCAGTGCTGATTCTGCAGCACTTTGGTGCAAAAAGTGATTTACAAATAAAGTTGGATTGGACATTTTAGTATTCTGTGTTGGTTGGTCGGGGTGGAGGACACAGTAACAGAGTAATTATTTAACATTTTAAATTTATTTTGTTGCATTAAATCATAAATTATAAATGTAACAAATGATTTGAAATCAATTTTTTATATTATTTTTTAAAAATGTACTTGGGGGGGCTCATTGGACCTGGGGCTTTTGTATAGCCGTCTAAGGCAGAGGAGCCCAAAGTGGGGCCCGCGGGCCAGATAAAATGGCTGTAGTGAAGGTAGTTTTTATTCATGGTGCTGACATATCTTTGATTTATTTACATGAAACATGAAATGACAACAAGAAATATTTAGATCAGATTTAACCCCACATGTAGATTTGCACACTTTATAAGGACACTAAAACTCATATTTTATCAATTTATRAAATGTCCCATGAGCCTTTGCTACTTGTGCGTATGGCAGACATTCTCCAAGTGCACAGACTAAAACAAAAGAGGGCCATTGCACAGCTTAATTGTTCAAAATAAATGACTTTACTTTAAAAAGTATTTGTATTTCATGTATTATATAACTGCATCTGGGCCGCAGCCATGGATAGATTTTCATTTTGGCCCTCTCGGGGAAAATGTTTGGGCGCCCCTGCTMTAAGGCCTCAGTGTTTCGACTAAGGATGGTTATTGATCGATCTACCGATTAGTATCAGTCAGTATTGGATCGATACCAGTGACATACACTATTTGCACAGMGGACTTTATTTTTCACAAATAAAACAAAAATAAAGTCAGTAAGAGACTCCAAATTGTTTGGAGTCCTCTACATCATGCCCATGTGTAATGGATTTTTATTGTTGCTTTTATATTTTATTACATTGTTACGTTTTTTTGTTATTTTGCATCAGTAATGTTTTTTATAATCAAGTTATGTAGAAGGTAATGGGGGATTACTTTATAATTTTTACACTGTTGCATTGTTTTATTTTGTTGTAGTTAGTAAAAATCATTTTATTTGCTTTAAATATTTGTCCTGTTTTACAGTAACTGACTGTAAATAAAGAAATCACAATTATTTAATTAACATCACGTTTCAAGTAAAAAGTATCAACATTATGATACTAACTCTGTATTTACTTGGTATCAGATCAATACTTTCCCAGCAACCACCTCTGCGTCCAATCATCAGCCTTCATTCTCAGTTTAGCCCCACCCACTCGCACCTGCTCCCTGTTTTCATTTAGTCTGTTTCCATCCATCTTATCGGCTCCTTTTGTCCCAGTTTTCACTATTCCTGCTGTTTGGCACCATGTTGGGTTTTTCTACGTGTGATAAATTTTGTGTAGTTGTCGCCAAGTCAGCCATTTTGTTTTCGTAAATAAAGTCCAGAAGTTTTTACAACAGCTCCTTAAGTTCAGCCTCCAATCCGGGACACAGAAACACTGACAGATGCTGAAAACAGCTGAAACTCACAGATTTACAGAACTAAACATCAGGAAAACAAATCACAAATAAAAACATGACGTAAATTTAATGCAGCAGCTCTGATTAGTTGTTGCAGGTAAACAACCGTATGTTTACAGGCATAGTTCGTACTTAGACTGAATAATCTGTGAAACTAAAAACAGTTTTTATCAGGATGTGAAAATAAATGAGTCTGTTTCAGTTTTTATTGCACAACCGGGTCTCACGACACAACTTCACCCAACTATAAATCCATCAATTTACGGAAAAAAAAACTGTTTTTCTTTCTGGGGTGAGGTGGGGTCATGTTCCTCCACGTCCGTCTGGTAAAATGTCATTTTTCAACAGATCGTGGACGTCAGATACTGTTTTCAGTTAAACCATGATGTTTAATAATTGATAAAATGTAAAGGAAAGAAACTTATATGGAAAACCAGCACAGCAACTTTTATCCGGGAAACATTAATAAAAAGTGTTTTTCTTTTTGACAGTTTTACAAACTGCTGAAGGCTTTAACAAGAAATGTTTATTTATATTTAGCTGAAAGAAATGAGTCCCTTCCATGTTTCCATTTAAATATGTGTAATTTCTGTCGTCATGTCGGCGCCTGCAGGCTGTAAAAACACCTGTTCACTGTTCACAACACCTCCTGTTTTATTACAGGAAAGTTATATTTCTTGTTTTTACGAGCTTTACTGCAGAACTTTACTGCTCTTAACTTTTAAATAATCAGAACACAGAGGTTCACAAACTATTTTTTTTAATTCTTCAGATCCAAACAGAAAAACTGAAGTGACAGAATCTGTTTCACTGTCAAACACTGGATTTTTACAGAGAAACTGGAGTTTCTGCCAAATTATTCAGTTGATAGTTTGATGAAGATAAAACTGAGTTGTTGCAGGTAAAAGAATCAGAATACTGGATAAAAAAGTAAAACTGCTGGTAAAGCGAAAATAAACTAAAAGCTAGATAAAAGCCAAACGGTAAAAGCCATAACTAGATGCTTGTAAAGCTAAAATAAGCTAAATACTAGATTAAAGCTAAATGTTACAAAATATTAAAGGCTAAGCTAAGCTAGATGTTATGTAAAAGTTAAAAGAAACAACACGCTAAGCAAAAGTCAAATACAGTATACCAAGTGGTAGGTAAATGCTAAAATATCCTAAAAAAAAAATGTAACAAAATGCTAAGTAAAAGACAAAACTAAGCAAAATGCTACAGATAAGAGCCAAAAAAGTTAAATGTTGCGTAAGAGCTAAAAAGGCAAAGGTTGCTAGATTTTACATAAAGCTAAAACACGCAAAATGCTACTTAAAACTTAAAAGAAGCTAAATGGTAAAATTAACAAAATGCTAAGTAAACAGCAAACTTAGCAAAATGCTTGTTCGTGGCTAATAGAAGTTAAATGCTGGCTAAAAGCCGAAAGAAGAAAAATACCAGGTAACGCTAAAATAAGCAGACTTCTAAGTAAAAGACAAATTAAACTAAATGCAGACTAAAAGCTAAAAAAACATGTCATGTAAAACCCAAATATAGCAGAATGCTAGGTAAAAGACAAAAAACTATGCTTGGTAAAGCTAAACGAAGCAGAATGCTAGGTAAATTCTAAAAGAGGCTAAATTTTAGGTGAAAGCTAAAAGTAAAAAAAAAAAAAGCTAAGTAAAAGCCAAACATAGCAAAATGCTTAGTAATAGCTAATAGAAGCCTAATGCTAGTTAAAAGCTAAAATAAGCTAAATGCTAGGTAAAATCTAAAAGTAATAAAATGTTAGGTAAAACAGTAGCTACATGCTAAGTAAAGCTAAAAGAAACAGAATGCTAAATCAAAGCTAAAATGCTAGGTAAAATCTAAAAGTAATAAAATGTTAGATAAAACAGTAGCTACATGCTAGTAAAGCTAAAAGAAGCAGAATGCTGTCAAAGCTAAAATACTAGGTAAAATCTAAAAGTAATAAAATGTTAGGTAAAACAGTAACTACATGCTAAGCAAAGCTAAAAAAAAGCAGAATGCTAAGTCAAAGCTAAAATAAACTTTGATTTGACTGAAACTGGTAGAAACTAAGTCATAACGCACTTGATATAATTTACAGAAAAAGATTACAATAATATAAATTGCAGGTCGTCATTCTGAGCACCTCCTTCCATGTTATACATATTAATACGCACATAAATGTTAAATGAAGTATTGTAGCTGCTTTAAGTTCTTCATGCCTCTGAGATTCATTTCTATTCTGAAACCGGTGAGGAGAAAATCTTTGGTCGAAATCCTTGGGGTGAAAAAAAAAAAAAATGATTTAAATTATAAACCGGACAAAAACAGGTAATATTATTCTGTGGGCTCTTAAGGTTTTGAAGCATTTGAGACCAGCTCCCTTTGGTGCTTCTGTCCTTTTTAATTCAAATCCAAATGAATTTTTCACACATTAAATGATTTGATGCGACAGTCACACGCCAGGGATGCTAATATCTGCACCGCCGAGGCTTTCAGCACACAAAACGCTTTCTTTAGACTCAGTGACGTACAGCAGGCTTTTATTAAAACAATGCTTTAATCCAAGGTGACAGCTTCTTCCCCTGATGGTGCCGGCTCATATAGACCACAGCAAACTGGGTTTTCTGGTCCAGATTCTGTTTCACCGAAGGCTACAGGATGCTGTGCACCTTCAGGATTCACACCTGAGAGGTGCTAAAGAGAATCATCTCCACCTGACAGGTGT